AAAAATCATGTGGCAACTCTGTTTCAGAAAAGTATGAAGTACAATACATAAAACAGGGATTATAAAAAATAATAGAAGCCCCATTTATTTTAAAATTTGTTTATTTAAAACTTTAACTTTATTTTTACAGGTGGAATGATGGCAACCCTGTATCAAAAATACTTTAAAACGAATTATATTGCAATGAGCTTTCGTTTGATACCCATATTGCAATTTTTATATTTCGCATAAAAAATCATATGGCAGCTCTGCTTTAGAGAAGTATGAAGTACAATACATAAAACAGGGATAATAATAAATTGTGCAAACTGCATTTATTTTAAAATTTTTTATTTAAAACTTAAACTTTATTTTTACAGGTGGAATGAGGGCAATCCTGTATTAAAAATACTTAAGAACTAATGATATTGTAATTAGCTTTTTAAAGAAATGTATGGTAACCCTGCACAAAAAAATTACAAAATTGTTTACAAGAAAAATAATAAAGTATAAGCAAAAACATGTTTTTGTGTTTTATTTCGCGGAAATTTATTCAAATTTGCAAATTAAATGATGGCAACCCTACACATTATCTATATTATATTCTCTGCTTAAAACAGACTATAGTGACATTTCTTTCGGTACTCTATTTCGGTGTCATTAAATGCACAAGAATTAACTTCAAATTTAATATTTTACTTTTAAGTACCTGGCAACCCTATTTTTATGGCCTACAAAATAATTAAAAATTTTCCAAAATCCAAATACATTTGTCAAAAAAAATCGTAATATAATTGTATGCAATCTGCATTAAAATTGATATTGTTATTTTAAGAACCTGGCAACCCTATTTATGGCATTAAAATTATTTTAAAAAAATATATTTTTTACAAAAAAAAATTTATAAAAAAAATTTTCCGTAACTAATATTTTTGCATTAAAAATATAATCCTTAAAATTAACTAAACCACCATATCTCATACACAACACACGCACGCACGTACTTGCACGTGCCAGCATAATTTTTTCGTTGCCATCGACCGCCTGCCAAAACACCAGGCGCGCATAATTGCACAGCAAGTACCCAGCGCCAGCAGTGCGCCTTTGGGGTATGCTACACTGGCTGGAGCCATGCTACTGTAATGCCAACTGTGCACTGTACTGTAGTATCAACAGTGCACTGTTCTGTAGGGTCAACAGTGCACTGTTCTGTAGGGTCAACAGTGCACTGTTCTGTAGGGTCAACAGGGCACTGTTCTGTAGTGGCAACAGCGCTCTGTACTGTAGTCAACAGTGCTCTGTACTGTAGTCAAAAGTGCTCTGTTAACAAAACAGCAGCCGCTTGCTGGCATTTATGTTCGCCTGGTAGAAATGGAAAATTTTGTATACGAGATTTTTTTCCTGCGAAGACTTAAGAACGAAACTTGCTCTGAACGAATTTCGCTGTTGGTGCGCATATGCGACTTGCTATGCAAGTGCGATTTGTTTTAAGTGGATTTTACATTTTTTGGATAATTTGAGTAAATATTTTTTTTTGATAATTTGAAATAAAATATTTTTTTTAATAAAATTTTTTTAAATAAAATTTTTAAGAAAATGAATGAAAAAATATTAAACAAAAAATTAATAGAATAAAATAAAAAAGTATTAAAACACAAAAATTATTTAAAAAGAAAATTTGATAAAGTATTAGTAAAAATCTGCCTTTAAGCAACTAAGCAACCCCAGCCACTAAATAAACAAAGGAAGTAAAAACGCATTTGTTTATGTTTGTTTTTATATATTTTATTATTTTTTTTGCAGTTTTTTATTATTTGTCTGTTTATTTTTGTTCGACTTTACTCGCTTTGATGTTTTGCTGCTTTAATTAATCAATTTTAATAACTATTTACACAGTGTTTAAAGCATCGAAGACCTTTATAATGAATTTATTTTACCTCTTTCTAAATTTTGCAAATTCAAATCTTTATTATTTGCTATAATTAATTTGTTATGATTTCCTCTTTGTTTTCGCATTATGTATGTATGTGATTAACTGAAAATAATGGGCTTTAACTAGCATGATTTGTGGTGCATTCTAATTTGGTCGTCTACAAGCTAAGGGCGATGGCTAAATGGGCGCAATGTTGTTGTAACACAACACATACAAAGTCTGTGCCTATTTTAAATATAATTTTATATGATATTCTAAACAATAGTTGCATTTGCAAACACTTTAACTACATGTCTTTAATAGCGCTGGATTACGGGATGGAGGTGAGTGAAGCCTTAAAGATAAGTGAGCAAGCAGGCGCTTAAAACGTACAACAGCACGCCAACACATACAAACATATATAAATTGCATTCTGAAAAGAAAAATATATAATTAAAAGAAAAATAAAAATTTAATTTTTTGTTTAGAATTTTTAAGGATTATTTTAGTTAATTTTTTCGTTTCTAACTGAAGGCAAAATAAACTCTGTGAAGGCAGGGCTTAGATTAATTTCAAATTTGTGAAAATCTGAGAACCACATTCTAAACAAATAAATTGGTTTCTTTAGCGCGAAATGCTGCAACATTTAAAATCGAGCAGCGCAGCTATGCGTCGACGGGACAGAGTTTAAATAAAATTTGGAAAATTAATATTAATAATTTTTTACAGTTACATTAGTTGAACCGCCTGCGTTTTTTTTTTTTTAATTTTATGTCAATATTATACCAGTTTTCTTTGCATTTTTTTTTTTAATTTTTATATTTGTTTGTGTTGGTGTTAGCTATTTATATGTGTATGTATGCTTTATATATATATATAGCTTTGCAGTTTTATATAACTATTTCTTATTATATAACTATGTTTTCATTTCTTTTGTTGGTTTTTTTTTCTTGCTAAAATATTTTCATCAGTTTCTTGCATTTGTTATACACATTAATGTTTTGTTGTTTTGCTTTTAAACAAGTTTAAATAACTGCTTGTGTATTGTATATATATTTTTTCTTTTACTTGTGGACTCTCGTTTGATTTTACATATTTTATCTTTACTTTCTAAATTAAATTTCGTTTTGCTTCAGCTACTGTCTCCTGGCCAATTCTGCGCATTCGACACCGCTAATATTGAGTTACATTTTTTTTTTATTTAATTTAAATATAGAAATTTCCAAAAGTTTTTTCAAAATGTTTTTGCTTACTTTTCTTTTTGGTTTCTCTTGTGGTTGGTTGCTGCTGCTGAATGAGCGTCCAAAATTTGCATAGTAAATTTGTATTGTTTTTCATGTTCTTGTTGTTTGTATATATGTATGGCGGTTTTGGGTAAAATTGCGATTGCGATTTTATACACTACAAAATAAGGATCAACATAAAAATAGTGACAATCATATGAGGAAAACTTAGCATTTCTTTTGCGTTCAGCTTCATTTGAATTAAAATTAAAAAATAATATTATTAATATTAATAAGAACACAAAACAATTACAATTTTTTTTGCTTCCAACTCCTAAACATTAATTTTACATAACAAAATCTTGCATACAATGCCAAATCAGACACCTGGGCAACACTGACGCTTGCCACACGCACAAAAAAGAAAATCTACATTTTCCCCGCGTTTGCGATTTCGCATTGCTAACTCTAACTACATACTATGCTCTAGCATATACATTTTGCGTAGTTGTTGTTGTGTACAAATATGTTGTTGTTTTAAAACGCCATTCTAACGCTAATTTGCTTAAAAAGACCTATTTCAAGTAGAAATCTGTTGAAAACAGCACCCACACCAAACCAAAAACAAAACACAAAACAAGAACAACAGATGCTTTTAAACAAGAAGTCAACCAAAGCATGCATGTTCTTGCAGTTAGCGGCAGGCTGTGGTGGCCTGTGGTGCGGAGTAGTGGTGTTGTGTGTAAATTGTATGATAGTGTAGTTTGGAAAATGACAGTGCAACCTTTCCTTGATGCTCACTCGACGCAATGCAAAATTTTAAGCATTTTTGTAACTTTCACCTCGAAATTAACCCCGCACTGCAACTGGTGTCTGCCTGCCCTATTGGTGCTGGTTCTTTACATGTACATACAGATATATATATACGTAATGGTATTGGTTTTAGTGTTTTTGTATTGCTAGTATTTGTTGAATTTGCTTATTTTCATTTTTTTTTTCTATTTTTTGTGGGAAATTTCCTGTTTTTTGCGTAATTTACTTATTACAATTCATAATAAATTTGCAACTTAAGTCTTGTTAAGCAGTATTATTTCCATTATTCGCCTGTCGCATTGTTGGTGTTTTGTTAATTTTCGCTTCGTGGCCGCTATGTGCTACACACACATATAATCGTCAAACACACACACATATATATATTTATGTAGCATTGGCTAACAAAGTTCGCGTTTCATCCACCACTCCGGCCCCCATTTATTGACACACGCTTGCTACTGCACTATGGGAGTTGCGGCGCTTTTCTTGTTTTCAGTTTCGTTTTTTTTTTTTAGGGTTTTACCATGCATTTTCATTCGATAAACACTAGTGACATCATTATATCTCAAACTGCTGCTTCCGTCCGTTCTCTGCTCGGCTCTGCTCTGCTCTATTGTTTATTCAATGAAAAATTATGTTTTTGTTGGTGCTTTTTAATCATCCATCCAGGATTCGCGTCATTCTGTATACTCCCACCAGTCCTTCTCGTAGCCTTCATGAACATGATCCAGCAGCACCTTGCGACGCTTCTCGCAATACCTGATAAGAAACGAAATTTTTAACAAGCGACAATATCTCAACAACTAATTGGTCGAAGCCTTTTTCGGGTACATTCCACTCACCTGTATTTATCCTGAACTTTTTGTTTAATATCAGCCAAATTCTCTGAAGTTATATCACGCTCCAGGTACTCAGACAGTTTCTCAGTTGCTGATTCCAAATCCTTTTGATTATCCTCAAAGATCATTGACTGATTGTTCTTCTTCAGATAATAGGCAAACACGTATGTGTACATGAGTGTTTGACGGCACTGGCAGAGTATATCTACGGCCTTTTTCAAAAATTGCACCTAAGTAATATAAAAAATACATTGTAACATTTTCGTAATAAATAAGCATGGCTACACACTTCAATCCAGGACATATTGTGCTGCTGCATCTCCTCCATTTTGTGTTTAACGGCCGCATAGAGTTTGTTCTCAAATTTCAGCGACTGCATGTGATTCATATAACGATTATAGTAATGCAAGTACCTTTGTTGGTCAGAAATGTTATTATTTATTGTTATTTATTATGAAAAATTTAATATGCAAATTAGGTACACACGCACCTTGCCAATGAGGAGCGCAATTTCTCTTGTGCATCACGCGCCGCCTTCGCCTCGTCCTCATCGTAGCGATTGCAGTTATACCACGACGAGCCGTGCGGCTCCCATGAACCTAAACACACCCAACAGAAATCGTGTTTACAATTTTGATTTTTACACACCATATGATTGCAGCCGCCATCTTTTTCGATCGTCACATTACATTTTGGACACTCTTTTGTGTTAGCCGCTATCCAATTGGATGTCTCCGAATCGTCGTCGCATTTCTTGATCCATTTTTTCAGCCAACAACATTTGACGGGATCATGCCAATTTTCGCCGCAGGCAAAGCAAAAGACATGCCCGCATTTGCAACTCACGGGGCGTGCATCACCATACGAAACTTTAATTGCATTCGTACAGTCGACGGACGGACACCAGCGTAATAGCTGATTGCATTCGACAAAACTGTTTGTGATCAGCTGTTGGTATTTCACTTTGACACGCGGATCCACTAGTTTAGTGACGGTAACGTCATCAACTAAAATATCACAGCCATGTGCGGCGCACGAGATGGATTGACCGAGACCTTCGGTGACGATCTTTGTCGTTAAATACTCACGCCAGCAGACCAAGCAAAAGCGATGGCCACACTCCAGACCAGTCATGCCCTGTAAGATACATAATGCATAAGCGAAACTATAAATAGAGCTTTAACTGAAAGAAACTATATTTCACTTACATCTGGTGACAGCAATGAGAAACAAATTTCGCATTCCTCCACTGGATTTTTGGACAACTATGAGCATGAAGTGGAGAAAGGAAATTAATATGATATACATATATGGCGGCGCAAACGTTCTTAATAAATACCTTAAGTCGACTTGGAGTGGTAGATTTGTTGAATGGATTAATGACATGTGCGCCCTTGAAGAATTCCTCTGTATTACCATCAAAATATTTTTCTAGTAGCTTTTCTTTATCCCATTTGTAATGATTTAGCAGTATGCGGATTATTGTGGGCGGCAGCTGGAAAGAATATGAACAGAAAAATAAATGTAATGTTAAGAAAATATATATGCAACGAAATACGGGTGTTTAGTTGCCTATTTTAGTCAGATTTTCTTGGAGATGTCTTTAGTGTAGATAAATAAACTTTTGGGCCGGAATTTTACCTGCAATCAAATGCCCTTGCTCAATCGATTATTTGGCTATCAATTTTCAATGTCACGTTATGCAATTAAAATGCATTCATCTATAAAAATCTTAGAAAGCGAAAAATTGCCAGAATTTCGTGTAATTCGGGCTAAATTGACGTCAAAACAACTATTTATAGACAAGAGCCGAACCAACAGCTCTTCCTCTCTGCCATCAAGAAAATAGAAATATGTTTGTCATTGCAAAAATCTATGCAACAGCATGTGTAAATTGGAGTACGTGCATATTGACTGACATATGCACAATAACTCTCAACAGATTTGCAAAAAATATTGTTTGTAAACAAACAAAACTGTCGTTGAGGGTCAGGGTAAAACAAGCTTGCAAACTATTAATAAAATATTGCCAGTGAAATTAAAAAAAAAACAAAAAATGTAATACAATGGAAATTTTCAACGTCGCGTGTTAACAAAAGACTGCAGTTGCAATATTTTGGTTTTTTTCTTGTTAGCACTAAGAATGCACGAATATATGAGATTTCTGTTAAATAGGTCAGCAGAAAAATTTTGTGTGTGAGTGTGCTGTTATACGTTTCGTAACTGCACTTGGCTGACACAATTGTTAATCTCTTTTTTCGTTTTACCCCTTCTGCCTGTTGTAAGTAAAAAATCTGCGCTCGTGTGGGAGGATAATGGAAATGGGACATATTTATACCTGCACATACATATGATTGTTTTCAGATTAAGGTATGTCATTCAAATGCATCTTTTTTAGGAAGTGTGCGTTTAGAGACTAGGATTCAAAAGCGAAAGCGATTGTTATATCATCATCCCACTAAAGCACATTGTAATTGGCAACCTTCAGCGTGAAGGTTATAAATATGCAACGTTGAAGTTTTTGTACAGTAAGGCTGTTTGCTAGCAGCTGCAATCTGTATGTTGTATAGACAATAGCCCCGACAGTAGGATCTAAGTAACCGGAACAGGCCTGGTTTTTTATTCGGCAAAGCTTTAGTTCGCAGTGAGCATAAAGGTCAGAAGAACACCAAACCTTCTTTTATAGCAAAGGTTCAAAAAATGAAAAAGCAATTATAAAATTATATGTACATTTAACTATCAAAAGGCAGTTCTTCTAAAAGAGCCAATAAACAATCATTAACTACTTGAACTTCACAAGCACGGATTTTTATATCACGTTTAAACAGGTGATTTACATGCACCTATCTATTACCGCTTACAAAATGCATATTTAAGCTTTTACCTTGAGCACATTGTTGACTTCATCGATTATTTCTCGCTGATGCTGTACTATTTCATCTGTAGAGAGCACTTCATATTGATACTCCTCTGTTTCCATTTGGCGATCATGTGAAGAGGGTATATCGACCTCCATACCGAAATCTTCATCGCCCTCGTCGCCTGACGATACATTGCCAGAATCAACATTCTCCATCTCATAAGAATCCTCATCAGACTCCATATTATATTTTTAGCTGTTTTCTTGTTATGCCGAGTTATTTATTATTTTTGGATTTTCTTTTGTTACTGATGTTTCAGCAGGAATTAGGCACAGTTTGGTTGTCTTAATAAACAATTGGAAGTTTTAAGTGCACGGCTAACGACAAATTGTCTGTTGCGTTTGATTTATGTAGCTGCAAACAAGAGTTAATACTTGTTGTTCAAATAATCAAGTTTTCCAATGCAACTCATATACACAGAATATACGCTTATTTGTATATTTCAGCGGGTTACTTGGTGACTAATCAAAGTTTACTTATTCCACATCTGCACTGCCCTTCAACTGTTTGTAGAAACCAATATGTTAATGGCGTATATATACGTCACTTTTAGCACCTTCGTTGGTTCCAGCAGCATACAACTTTTAATAAGTGCTCCGTGCTTTGCCTACCGCCCCAAATCACCCCGCTGCTTTATATTTTGGTATGTGGCGTTCAGTGGCACACTGTCGCGGCCTTTTAACCCAAAGGGGCAGGAGAATTGAAAACAATGTCGGTAGCTAATCGACTTTGTCTCGTGTTTATAGCTTTGACAACGATTGAGACAAGCACACTAGCCACAAAGTTGCAGCGCGGATGTCACTTTTACTATGATTACTTTATTTTACGGTCAAGTTAATTGCAGTTGTCGAGCGACTTTTCCAAGTTTTTTGGCGTTTGCTTTACTTCCTTGCTGCGACCCACAATTGGAATACTTCTTTACTATGTTATAGTTAAGAAAACTTTCTATGCACACGACTTCTCTGTAAATCGCTCCCTTTATAAGCAAAAATTTAAGTCCTAGTTGAGAGAATAATAAGAAAAAATCTGAATTAAAATGATTTGAAAATTTTGTGCACACAAAAAATTTTTCCCAATTCTTTGAGATAATCAAAAAATTGGAAAATGAAGCAGAGCAAAAACAAGACAAAAATTGATGTGAAGGGAAAAAAGTTCAAGGCTACTGTGTGTGAGTGTTGTTGTTTTCTATTCATTTTTATGAGTACTTCATTTATTCGATTTCTTTTTACAAACTATTATTTTGTGAAAATTCTATGTTAATGCACAAAACACAGATGAAGAGCTTTCACGGTTTGCACCAAATTATAAAAACACTAAACAATACACAACTTTACAACAATACTATGCACTTTTTCAATTTTATATACCGATAATGCACACCACCAAAAGAAACACAAATTTTATTTGTATCGTTCGCGAACCGACCATGAATTCAGTGAATAATTTTATGACCAGCACAAAGGCAATCAACGAATAACCTAAGGAAAATGAAAACAAAATATACATGAAATAAACAGAGATAACAGCAAGCGAACAAAACAGGCTATTAGTTCCCTTTCGCATGGTAAATAGTTCGCTGGTTAGAAGAATGCAACTACTTTTTAGTAAAGTACTGAATGTCAAACAGCAAACAGTTGCCATATGTGTCGTTACATAGCGATGCCAGAAAATACAGAAATATACATAAAAAAATTAAAAATTGTATAATCTGGCAAGCCTATCGAAAATCTAATTTGAACATATGTAAATATATATTATATGCGAATGGTTGTCAAATTAACTTTGTTTTTTTTTGTGTAGATTCGTAGATGCTATTTACTTTATTTTCGTGTCATTCAACTTTTTTTAACGAATTTATTTACTTTTGTTGAGTTTCGACCTTATCATTCTACCGATTTGATATATTACGAATTATGAACTGCGCACATCTTCGGTATACAATGCGTAATTGGTTTCCTTTTTAACAAATTTAGACACACACACCGAAAGACTATTTACAAAAACGTATTTATGAATTTTCTACAATTTGCAACCGAACAAACGACGGAACATTGCAGCACTGCACTCGCATTAAACTTCGTATAATTTCTTTGTCCGCTGCCTACGGGAATGTCGTCTTCGCACTGTATATTTGGTATTTTTTCTTTCTGGTATGATTACCTCGAAATAAAACCTACAAAACACATGCATATACATATATTAGCGCTGCGACTTTGGGTAGTGCACATAATATTAATATAGGCGCTACAAAAAAACAATACACATCTTTTTTACAGTGCATTCATGCATAATTTCAAATTTGTTACAGAAAAATTATTCACTATATATTCATTTTTTTAAATTCTATTCAATTTTTACGCACACATAACACATTTACACGTCTTTGTGGACAAAAACACGAACATCACAATAATTAATTTTTAAAGCACAGTCCGCTTGATGACCTCAATATATACTAACTTTTATCCTTTCCACAATTAATTTTCTTAAACGAATTTATTATTTTACTAAATTTTCACACTTTATTACTGCAATCAGTTTAAAACGCAGCAACGAAATGAAAATGTTAGTCAAACATACACACGCGCACATTAAATGCCTAATAAGAAAATCGGTCATACTACTTTATGTCTGACTTTTCAAATTACCTGCCGTTTATACTTTGCAAGTTAAAAGAGGATGACACAAGTGCATTGCACAGGGCTGCCAACCCAAATCATTTGACCTGCACATAACATTCCAACAAATTTCTTATTTTTTCATATTAAGTGGCTGGATTAATGTGCATGAAAGAGACGAAGCGGGTTGTAGGTTGCAATTACTTCAGAGTTGCACATCGTGCAGAGTGTGTTCAAGCAATGGTGAATTTCAGATACGTCAAAGGCGCACCCGTTTATAATGCTCACCCTGCCGTTGTAATCTAATAAGAATCTATACACTACTAATTAGAGCATGTGAGGTGAAATGCGATCATTGGATGATAACAGCTGATGTCTAAAAACTAGCTTAAAGCAAAAATTGTATGAGGATTTTGAAAATTAGTTTGTTATATGCAATTTAAAACTAAAATAATAGCAGAAGAGTTAGAGGACAGAGTGTTCAGATTTGCTGTTTCCTTGAATCCTCAAGCAAATCACATCTTATTCGAAACCTTTATCTTAAGAAAATCTTCATGTTTAGAAAAAACCAAAACTTGTGTTAAATTATTTCGCATATGGTCAGAAAGAGTACTATTTTAGTACAAACATTATCTAATATTGTCAATGTTCATTTTGCCAAACATTGAGATAGGTGAAACGAACATACAACTGGTACAAAGTGCAAAGTTTGTCATGGGCAAATTAAGTAAGAGCAGTTAGGGCGACAACATTTTGTTGGTGGCGAAACGAACACCGTTTCTATCTCATTGAAATGTACATACATATTTATAGCTAACATAACGTGTGTATGTACTTATTGCTATGTGAGACCCTGTTTTCAGATTAAAAAACTCAGCAGCAGCACAAATCAGAGCAACAACAACGACACACAGTGACAGCAAAAATAGCAATTCGCATTAAAAGCGTTCAAAATGGACAAGGTCGACATTGTATAACCTTGATTGATTCAGCATATACAAACATACGCACAAACATACATAGATATATACATTTGCTCAGAGGTGCGATAAGATTAATTGCAGGTGAATTTACTTAGAGTGTAGGATACTAGATATGCATGGATATGTGCATACAAATTTTCACATACGTACATATGTATGTATACATACTGGTCAGGCCATTTTACACATAATATACACATATGTTTGTGCATATGTTCATATTTTTATGAATTAAAAACACGCACACCATCGCATATACACGCATATTTAATTTAAAAAATAAAGCAACAACAACAACAAAATATACATTTGTACATCCATATGTGAGTTCGTATTTATCATTAGCGCGTGTAAAATTGTCAAAACGAAGTAAAGTGGCGCAAAGCGAAGCAGATAATGTTGTTGTTGTTGTGATTTCAGCAACAGCTGCTATTCACAGCAGCGAAACAAAGTTGCATTCATATAATATATAAACACTTGTACATATGTACATGCATCCGTACCTTACAAATTTATAAGCAAAAATTAAAGCAAACAACGACGAAGCGTGAAATGAAAAACAACAACAACTAATTAGACACAATGTTGTTGAGACGACATAAAAAACTACAGCACAAAAACAAAAGCAGCAACATATCGACGACATTGTTGACCTCCAAAATTACAAATGCAAAAGCAAAAACTTGCCTAACAACAAAAATTAAGGAAAATAAAGGAATATTTATAATCACTTTGCACAATAGAAATTGAAACAAGAAAAAGCTTAAAAATAAAATTTTTGCAGCAGCAACAACAAAGTAGGAAAACAAAGAGAATAAATAACTTCCGGCGAATAATTAAAGCAGCGCGCAGTATTACATAGTTACATGCATACATAGTACCTGCTAAGTCACTATATGTGCATCTGTATCTGTTTTTTTTTTATAAAATCGCAAATGCAGGAAATGGTCTTCGGATCATTCAGAACAACTTTACCTAAGGGACTATGGGAACCGATTTCAAGCTACGATTTTTAAGGTGAATTTTAAAAAAAGCTGAATAATCAGTTGTATGAATGATACATGAATTACAGTTGTCCGACCTGACCAATTCCGACAAATGATCAAATCAGAGTATCAAACGGCACTTGCATACGTATTAAATTTCATTCGGATATCTGCTGCCTTTAAATGAACCCACCCTAATGTATGTACATGCATACATAGTGTATATATAATGTATACTGTGCGTGGAAGTGTTAAATGAAGATGAGAGAACAAGCTGAAATTGAAAATAAAATAAATGAAAAAAGTTTCATAAAAATATAAATAAAAAAACGCAATATTTTTAAATTAAGCGAAGATATGTTAAAATATTAATCTTATGTAGTCATATGTTTATACTTATGTATATAAAGTACATATACATCTTCAGATGGCTCTATTTTTTCTACTTTCCCTCTCTGCTGCAGAGATTGTTTATTTTTTAGAAGACAAGACCCGGAAAACGATTTGTATAAAGCCTATGAGATCACCAAAGTGTTCTATTGGGTAGTCGAAAAACTCTTTTCGTATTTCTGATACATTGAATTAATGTACAATTGTATGTGTATATACATTTGTATGTGTGTACTTGGATTTCCGCATTCGCCAGCCAACATTTCACCTGTAGCTCTTTATCGCCTGATTAAATATTTAAATTTTGTAATTGTATAAACAAACATATGCACATAAGCTGTAGGTACGTGTATGCATATTATAAAATAGCAGATCACATACACACATACATTGTACCTATAGAACTGTATACGCAGGGTAAACGATTAAATGATATGAATTATCAAAACAATGCTCATCAACGTTATCGCTTAATTGCAATACAGCTTACGCAATAAAAATATGTACATATGGTATGTGAATATAAGTACTTATACCAAAAAGTGCAAATATGTATAGGGTGAATCAATAAGTAACTTATTCAAAAAAAAAAGTTGTATATCAACTATATGCTCCACCTCTTAAAATTATTTAAATAACCTGAAACCAATAATTCGAATAACCGATTTGTAACCGTAATATTTACCGATTAATACCATTCGAATAGTTGTTCTACTGCACATTCAACGAATGTGTCGACTTACGACTATTCGGATACAGCAAACCGAATATTACTATTCGAATAATTCCCTATGCGGTTAGTCAATTTGTCGAATACCAAGAGCTATAGTAAATAGTATTATCATGTTTCCTTTATTAGTATTAATCAAAACTTATGTATCTAATCTACATACTTGTCTCACCTAGAACTGATTCATCCTCAGTAAAAATAGTAAAAGCTGTTTGCTTTGAACTTTTTCCACCGATCTTCTCATTGAACTCGTTAGAAGTTGTGTTATTAATAGTCAACTTTTCACAACACTTATCATTTTCGCGGTGAAGGAAATTTGTTGTAGGCGTGGTCTACTCCCAAGAAGCAACTTACATGGGTGAGCTGATATTAGCTCTCTCCATACTTTCTTCAGTAGAGATTTACAAGTCTATTAAAGCTTAACACTTTCGCTTGAAGGAGGATGGCAGAGAAAATTATAGAATAAATACATTGTACCATAATTTAACCACCCTGTATTGTTTAATTGCGCTGATATGCTGCTTATCTAGCATTTAGCGTTGTACTATATACTAAAAACGAGTCGCTTTCTTATAGCTTATTTTTAGACCTATAAACATTGGGTTAAAGGCATACGTTTCAAATGGCTTTTGTAGTTTTTTTTTCAATTTAAATGTTTAAATCAAACATACACCAATTGAGTTCAAAGCAACCTTTTTGTGCTTGAAAAAGGAATTGATTTCAGATTTAAGGCGCCTTTAATACCAAGTTTAATTTAAATGAAAAGTAAAGTGAGAATATAATTTATTTCACTGTACACTTGTTGGTACAAAAATTAATGAATGAAAGACGTAAGTAAGTACAAATGTATGCATCTATGTACCTAGATTATCACTTATCACTGAAGTGATAAGCGATTATGAGTGGGAAATGAGAGGAAAGTTTACAAATAATTTGAATAAATGTGTATAAACGTATGCAAGTATGTATGTACATATGTATGTGTATGTAGTATACTACAAAATGAATAAAACCAATAGCCGTATTCTGGTTTATTATTTTAGAGCTTTTAGGAAATTATACTCAGAATTTACTTGGAAATATATACATATGTATGTATGTACATAAGTATGTAAGCATACTGTATAAGGAATATACCTTGAGTGAGGAGCAGACTCACGTACATAAGAAATGAGTAGACTATAAATCATTATATCGCTTATATAGTGGGGAATTTTTTTTTTAATTTTTCGTTATTTCAGAGAAGAAATAAATTCAGTTGCGAGTCCAAAATTAAATTTTTAACCTCTTTCATAATCCTACATGTATGTATGTATATTTGAACAATATTTTTTAAACAGCAACTCAGACTACACCACCAAGACGTTTGTTGTAATATTTTGTAATATTTCTACAACCAGCAACTTTGTTTCTTCTGAGAGCTGAGAGGTTGTAAGCTCAAAATCTTAATAATTTAAAAAAAAAATTACAGATATTCTTGATATAATATTCTATAAACACACTAGGTGCAGTAGGCATAATCATACATGTATGTACATACATAAGAGGGCGGCAAGAGCCACAGATTGCAAACTTTATTTGCCAACTATTTCTCACTTCAAATCAGTTGGAACTGCTTTCACTAGTTTTGCAGTGATCTATAAGTTAATAACTTGTTTAAATATGTATGTATGTACATATATTACAATATTATGCTTATCCACCATAAATATGAAAGAATAACAAACACACTACAGATATTTGGAAGAGGCATATAAGTATGTACTTGTGTAGATATAATTACATATGTATGTACACTTACCCACAACTCATCAACGAACGTTTCTATTTCTTGTTTTTATTTAACCGGTTGATTTCGTTTCTTTTGTATTCCAACGT